CGTGACATTTCATACTTACAATTAAGAATAATGCTTTGGTCGTGTTCCATCGTTGCTTCCAAAACAACTCGACCTGTTCGGAATGAGTTGAGACACAATCAGCATATCCAGGAAAAGAACCAAACGCACGCTGTGATCGGCAGTAATGACTGAATAAATATCAGATGGGCCTCATACACGTGCGCAGACCGCTCACAAGTTTCATATAGAACCCATGTTTGGAAGGAGACTAGATTCGAAAGGCAGATGCCACCAACGTGATCATGATTTGAAGGAAATCGGTTTGAGAAAGCCCAATATCATCGGACAATGATGCCAGCTTACCGAGAAGATATTTACTATTGGTGTCGGCAGAGAACAAGGTTGGGAAATCGAACAGCATGACACCTTGTCGTGTTGGCTACACTAAATGCACAGTGAAGACCGGTTGGTGACCACCAATACCGTCACGTGATACTTTAAAACTTCGCCTTCGTGTCTAGGCAAGGCCACTTTGTGCTCTCTGCCAGATCGCAATTTAAGTAAGGATGCGACCCTACCAGTCGAAAGCTTTAAAAGCCCTCACTAACGAGGATTAAATAAGCCTTTAAGCGAACTAGAGATAGAAGAGGCGAGATCTGTGGCTTTGTAATCGCTGCTGGCGAAGTGAGGGATTTACCTGGTCAACTTATGCGGGGTTTTATGTAGGATTCAACATTGTCGGTGACCTAACGGGGCCAAAATGGATCAACGGGTCAATCAAGTATCAAGGACGAAGAGGCATCTGTGTTAGAGAACGTGATGGTGGGTGAATAAATGTTTATTCTTTCAATTGCAGCTTGTTGCACCTCGCCCATGTTTACACTATCACATGTATACAAGTACTTTATTTACATTCTTCTGCTCGAGACTCTGCGGCCAAACATCGGGGCTCAGAGCTGACTTCGCCAGAAGCTCCAGCGAGCGAAGGTTTTCGACCTTCAGAAGCTTGTCGACCTGTCGGATAAAGGTGCCCAACACATATCGTTTCTGTCAAGAAACTGATAGGTCGACAAGAGGATCTTCGACAGATTATCGTCGTTACTATATATCCGACCACTGTGTCGATATAGGTCTCCGGATTCGCCTGTCTCTTTGGCCATAGGCTGTTGGAGAAAGCGCAATATCACCAGTCTTATGTTGAAGTGTCCCAGCCGCAACCCGTCCGGTGATACCTGTGCCTACCATCGTCTCCAATTCAACAATTTCGCGCCGCAGTAGCAGCTCCTGAATACGTATGAGTAAGCGATTACAGGCTATAGCGCCGACCACGATAGCTGGAGTAGAGAGGAAGACCGGAAGAAGTAGAGACATATTCCGGGAGAGGGAGACACCGAAAACGAATGACTGAGAAACCATGATGATAAGGTAATACGCTATACCATCGTTCAGGAGCATGGTTACGAGCGGTAGTCGTCCCGGCGCATACCTAAAGATGGGGTATACCTTTATGAGAGTGAGGATGATAACGCATGTTTCGAACACGAGTGATGAGATGAAGATCATGTGGAGCTTCAGTTTCGCGACGGTGATAACAGTGCATCCGGTGAAAGGCGGTAATTGGGGCCTCACAATGGCTTTAGACCAGGCGTATGAACCA